ATATAATAAAATGTTTTACAAAGATTCAAAAATAGTTTCAATTCACCCTATATATTGAATACAAATTATTTATATAAAATAGTAATAATAATATTAATAACATGAATGCTGTGTTTAATAGCTGGTATAAGGTATTGTTTAATTTGTGCAGATTTCCTTATTAATTAAGAAGAAATAACAAATATCAGTTTAAGATTTAAAAACTCATGCTTAGTTTTTTTGCCCGTACTGCTTGAAAACAGCAAGACACACATCTTAAATTTTTCAAAAGTAATAAGTTTTCTTCCTTCCCACCTCTAACCCCATAATTTTACATTTCAAAACTAATTAACCAGCAGGCTAATAAATTTTCTCTGGACCAAATTAATTAATTCTATTAAAACATCCAAAGGCTTTTAGAATACATTAACATTTTGCCTATCAGTTGTGCTTCTGATTCAGTTTCAAAGCAAAGATCATCGAGATGAAATAAATATGAGTGGCAAAAAAAGGTATTTAAAATTATTAATAAACTGTTAATTTGTATAAATGAAAAAGTATAATTCTTTCAAATGCATAGAAGTTCCAAGGCAAACAAATCATGCTATCTGATCAAATGTCCCATTTCCTTCAACCAAGAGAATGCATCTAATCCTACATTTTTATTCACAGAAGAAACTACCTTCATACTGATCAGCTTAAGGGAAATTCTTGCACAAACATATACCTAATATGAGTATGTGAACATTTTATATCTTTATCAGTTTGTGTGTAAATTTACTTTTAATATAGGCTTCCTTGGGTTTTGTATCATTGGAAAGATGAGAGATACTTATTTTAAATAAATCTAAATATTTGGTGCTAACATGTTGACATGTTTATCTAGTACACTTCACACAAATGGACATAGTATTTGTCTAACATTTGAACTGGATTCCAATTTATACATCTGGAATGGTATGAGTATAACAATTTTCTTATCCTTTTCCTACTTGCCAGTCCATGGGGTTCCCCAATCCTCCCTCCCCGTTCTAAATGTGATATTGGGTTGAGGGGGAAGCAAGAGACCCTTCCTTTGAGAACATCAAGTGATTTCCCCTGCAATTCCCAACTTCTTAGGCCACCTGTCAAGAAGATCACTTTGACCTTGACTGAGCTTTTTCAGGGAGACAAACTACATAGGCTGCTTGGGAGAAGGGTAGGAGAATGAGCTCCTGAACCAGTCCACGATTTCCTAAAAGAAGCTAACATCTTTGACAGGTTATTAAAAAGTAAGTGCAGTTCCAGAAAGAGACATTTTTGTGAGCATAACGTAGATAGTTGTTTTTTTTTTTTTAAAAACTGCTAAGGTTTATAAAATGAAGGGTAACAGAGTGATTAGCTATTTCAATGATTGTTTGAGCAACAGTATCTCTTCACAGGGACTTTCAAAGGAGGAATTGCATGCAACCATTATCTGCTTAAAACAGGGTGTACCAAATATTTGGCCCCATAATAGGTTTATTAATTATTTTTTCAGAGAAAACATTACTGTACTAAGGAATGTTCAAAGATCCAGCATCAAATAAGTAAGGCAGTGTTTAGAAGAAAATGGCAACCAACTCAAATGTAATTTAATGTAATTTATATAATAAATTGTTTATGGGGTCTGACTTTTGGTACTTCCTGTATATCAGGGTTCCTCAACCTTGGCAACTTTAAGACAGGTGGACTTCAACTCCCAGAATTCTGGGAGTTGAAGTCCACC